TGACACAGTGTGGTCACCAACAGAGGTGTGACACAGTGTGGTCACCAACAGAGGTGTGACACAGTGTGGTCACCAACAACAGAGGTGTCACAACAGTGTGGTCACCAACAACAGAGGTGTAACAACAGTGTGGTCACCAACAACAGAGGTGTAACAACAGTGTGGTCACCAACAACAGAGGTGTAACAACAGTGTGGTCACCAACAACAGAGGTGTCACAACAGTGTGGTCACCAACAACAGAGGTGTCACAACAGTGTGGTCACCAACAAGAGAGGTGTCACAACAGTGTGGTCACCAACAAGAGAGGTGTCACAACAGTGTGGTCACCAACAAGAGAGGTGTCACAACAGTGTGGTCACCAACAAGAGAGGTGTCACAACAGTGTGGTCACCAACAAGAGAGGTGTCACAACAGTGTGGTCACCAACAAGAGAGGTGTCACAACAGTGTGGTCACCAACAAGAGAGGTGTCACAACAGTGTGGTCACCAACAAGAGAGGTGTCACAACAGTGTGGTCACCAACAAGAGAGGTGTCACAACAGTGTGGTCACCAACAAGAGAGGTGTCACAACAGTGTGGTCACCAACAAGAGAGGTGTCACAACAGTGTGGTCACCAACAACAGAGGTGTCACAACAGTGTGGTCACCAACAAGAGAGGTGTCACAACAGTGTGGTCACCAACAACAGAGGTGTCACAACAGTGTGGTCACCAACAACAGAGGTGTCACAACAGTGTGGTCACCAACAACAGAGGTGTCACTACAGTGTGACGGAACACGACTCACGCGGCGCCTCTCAACAATTCTCTCAATTACCTCCTAATGAATAGGAAAATTCTCTTCATGAAAACTTCCCGACGGTTAATGGCCGCCATTACTGCTACACTGCCTGGGAGGGAGTGAGGTAATGAGGGAGTGAGTGAGGTAATGAGGGAGGGAGGGAGGTAATGAGGGAGGGAGGGAGGTAATGAGGGAGGGAGGGAGGGAGGTAGAGTAATGGGAGGGAGGGAGAAGGATGGAATTAGGTCCGCTGCCCTTCTGGAATTCTAAGACTGTTTTGACAATAAGGACTAAATAAAAATCCTTATTAAGAGCCGAAAGATTCATATATTTCCTGCAAGCCTAAATTAAATCAATTATTATCTAATTATCTGTGTGTTACGAACCTTTCGTTTTAAACTGTGATCCGACTCACGTTCAGAGAACCCTTGAGGTTACCGTAATCTTGGTGAGAATATTGTGTAATGTTTAAATGTAAAATGAAAAGAATAACACTTAAAATAACCCGTTATTATTACCCATCACCATTATACAAGTCTATGCCAGGTCACCCGGAAGTGGCGTCACCAGCCATTACGCTAACCTGCGTCACGGGTGACGGAGGCAATGTGCCTCTGGTGAGGTCTTCTTAGGTCCACCTCCGTTGCGCACTCGCTGGGACGCTCAATCAACAAACTCAGCTAAGCTCATCTAGCCCCTCTGGCTAGTACCTTCCAGAACCGGTCTACAGCGCTCACCTATCCCCACTGGCTAGCACCTCCAGGTCGACCCAAGTCTTCCACTGTCCCGACTAGACTGACTTCCCTCTCTCGTCCGTGGTTGGTCGTCACCTTCCAGCACAATGTACTAAAAGATGGGAAACTGCGATTAATGGGCGGGTCAACTCCTGTAGTTCGGCGCCTAGATCGTAGATGGCGCCGAGGTCCGTGACAGTGTTAAATATAAAGAAACCCAAATATGATAAAATAATAGGCACCCAATTGTTATATTAAATTCTAAATAATAAGGCCCATCATGCTTCAAACAAAAAGCTGTCCACTTGTATACAATGTTTCATTAATAGTGTCAAATGCATCTTTCAGGTCAACGGAGAATACAAAGCAGATGTTGAAGGTGCGGCGTTGGTGATGACGGCGGACCATTTGGTCCAGGCTGGACCACTGCTGCCTGAAGCCTGCCTGGGAGGTGTTGTGTTCCAGGCTGGACCACTGCTGCCTGAAGCCTGCCTGGGAGGTGTTGTGTTCCAGGCTGGACCACTGCTGCCTGAAGCCTGCCTGGGAGGTGTTGTGTTCCAGGCTGGACCACTGCTGCCTGAAGCCTGCCTGGGAGGTGTTGTCTTCCAGGCTCCACTGGTGGTCAGTGTCGACCACTCCATCACTTATGACGCATGACAGTAATGACAGGGGCTGTATGTGCAGGTTGGCTGTATGTGCAGGTTGGCTATATGTGTAGGTTGGCTGTATGTGTAGGTTGGCTGTATGTGTAGGTTGGCTGTATGTGCAGGTTGGCTGTATGTGTAGGTTGGCTGTATGTGTAGGTTGGCTGTATGTGCAGGTTGGCTGTATGTGTAGGTTGGCTGTATGTGCAGGTTGGCTGTATGTGCAGGTTGGCTGTATGTGCAGGTTGGCTGTATGTGTAGGTTGGCTGTATGTGCAGGTTGGCTGTATGTGCAGGTTGGCTGTATGTGCAGGTTGGCTGTATGTGTAGGTTGGCTGTATGTGTAGGTTGGCTGTATGTGCAGGTTGGCTGTATGTGCAGGTTGGCTGTATGTGTAGGTTGGCTGTATGTGCAGGTTGGCTGTACGTGCAGGTTGGCTGTATGTGCAGGTTGGCTATATGTGTAGGTTGGCTGTATGTGTAGGTTGGCTGTATGTGCAGGTTGGCTGTATGTGCAGGTTGGCTGTATGTGCAGGTTGGCTGTATGTGCAGGTTGGCTGTATGTGTAGGTTGGCTGTATGTGTAGGTTGGCTGTATGTGTAGGTTGGCTGTATGTGCAGGTTGGCTGTATGTGTAGGTTGGCTGTATGTGTAGGTTGGCTGTAAAAAATTGACTGGTTTACATAAACAACGATTTTCATGATATATACTTGCAATATATATATTAAAGCAAGATATTTTATTTCAAAAGTTTTTCTTTAATAATACATTTTTATATATAGAGAGATAAACATGAATGTAATTTTTCATTGTATTCACAGAATTATAACATTGTTCATGTGACAATGAATGGTGACACGCCTATACTCTGTTGACATCTGTCATGACCGCTAATCATGCTTGTATGAAGGACTGTGAGATAAGTCATTATGACACTGTCGACTGACGCCGGGAGCAGAGCGCCCTCACCTCTCCGCGCGAAGATTGACTGATCTACGAGGCTGGACGAGACCCTTGAGGCTTCAACTGCCAACGATGCAAGATTCTCCACTGGAGGATGACACCTCGGGAGCCTTCAAGGCACTAACACACAAGCTGCACACCGGGGCACGGATGTGTTCAACATTGTGTTTTGAACATATATATAGTTGTTAGTACTGTGGACCGGCGGTGAGTCTCGGCGCGTCAACTTATCCACACTCACCCAGAGACATGAGTACCTTGTAGTCGTAGAGATGTGTCTTACCACACCACATGTGTCCAGTATAGTGTCTAACCACATCACGTGTCTCCAGCATAGTGGGACACACACGTTGTGGGAAATTTTATCCACCTTATCATTATTATTATCTAAGAAATGTATTGTTTCTATATCGTATCAGAATCATATTAGAATCCCATCAGATTCATTGTACATATTATACATCAACTAGATCCTACCTGACAATGCTGCTATGATCACATACACCAATGGGGCCCAAATGCGGATACCTGACATTGTGCATGAATTCTCAAGGATTTAGAAGGTTCCAGAAGAACCTATTAATTAAAAACTATTTTAACATCAATCGATTTCCGGTGAGGATTAAATAAAAAACTTAATAAGAATCAATGGAACTATTTAGTACTACTTATGATCTATAATTCTTATATCTAATTATATTATAATTACATTTTATCTCAATAATCTGCCTAGACAAATAAAAATATTTAATCAATATTTCTTCCAGACCAGGAGGGAGGAGTCTGCTCGGATCTCAAGCGTCCTGACCAGCCCCCGACCCAGAACGTTTTGTTTACATAAACGGTGCAAACACGTGAAGGTGCCTTGCGAACTTTTTCAGTAAGGGACACCACACTAACTTATCATTATCACCAGTGATTACTCTCTAGATACTAGGGGAGTTCCTGGACTATATATATAGGGAAAATTCCTAGTATCTTTTATCTAAATAAGAATGTAGAGAGGCTTAAAGTGACGCTGCCTCAACCACCACAACACTTTAATCTTATCCTACTGCAAACGCAACTAAGGACATATACAACGGCAAAGTTGTGCATCAAAATATAGTGCCTAACTCTGCAGGAGAGATCATACAGTCTAGCAACAGTCAGACAGGCACCGGTTACAAATTTTTGGATGAGTATTGAATGCTGTTTTGTAGTATGTTGATTGGGTAATTTGTCTTCATCATAACATAACGTTAATGTGTCCATATAAATTGTTATTAGTTACACTCAGAGTGAAAGCCCAAAATTTCAGTAAGTTTTGATTTAATCTTTCAACAACTGAATCTTTTCTTGAATCTTGACACTCATGCCTGAATTTAATCAATTGAATGTATTCAGTTCCTGACTGAACCTTTTCATATATATATTTTAATATATCTGTATATACATATATAATTGATCTTATACATCAAGTTAACAATTGCTAACTTAGTTATCATTAATTTATCATATTAAATATAATTTCTTATACCTAAACACCAGTACACAGACCGCATGATGGTCCTTTGATCGTATAATTGCATATATATCATACCTCTATAATACAAATTGTTGTATTTATTAGTATGTGAATATTGACTGTTGTGATAATTATAGAGCTAAGTCAGACTGTGTATATATGTTCAGATCCTTGATCTTGAACAGAACCAGTGTTCAGCTACAGAACCGAGTTATTTATTCTTATCCTTGTATAACAATACAAGTTGATGTGTTGAAATGTCTACAGGTGAACTGTGATCTCCAGTCAACCACTCCAGTCACCCTCAGAGTCCCACCTGCCTCTTACAGTTCATTGACATTAGGACCAGAGGAGTAGGATTTACAACCCTAGCTAAGGAATTTTAGTTTTATTAATATTACATACAGTAAATTTTTATTTAGTGCAGTTCAGTTGTTTGGAGGTTGCTGTCTGCCCTCCTGTGGTGGGCAGCTGGTGCTTGGAGGTCGTGGCTGTCCTCCTGTGGTGGGCAGCTGGTGCTTGGAGGTCGTGGCTGTCCTCCCTGTGGTGGGCAGCTGGTGCTTGGAGGTCGTGGCTGTCCTCCCTGTGGTGGGCAGCTGGTGCTTGGAGGTCGTGGCTGTCCTCCCTGTGGTGGGCAGCTGGTGCTTGGAGGTTGCTGGCTGTTCTCCCTGTGGTGGGCAGCTGGTGCTTGGAGGTCGTGGCTGCCCTCCTGTGGTGGGTAGCTGGTGCTTGGAGGTCGTGGCTGCCCTCCTGTGGTGGGCAGCTGGTGCTTGGAGGTCGTGGCTGTCCTCACTGTGGTGGGCAGCTGGTGCTTGTAGGTCGTGGCTGTCCTCCTGTGGTGGGCAGCTGGTGCTTGGAGGTCGTGGCTGCCCTCCTGTGGTGGGCAGCTGGTGCTTGGAGGTCGTGGCTGTCCTCACTGTGGTGGGCAGCTGGTGCTTGGAGGTCGTGGCTGCCCTCCTGTGGTGGGCAGCTGGTGCTTGGAGGTCGTGGCTGCCCTCCTGTGGTGGGTAGCTGGTGCTTGGAGGTCGTGGCTGCCCTCCTGTGGTGGGCAGCTGGCGCGTGAAGGCAGCTGGTGCTTGAGGGCAGCTGGTGCATGAAGGCAGCTGGTGCGTGAAGGCAGCTGGTGCGTGAAGGCAGCTCGTGCATGAAGGCAGCTGGTGCGTGAAGGCAGCTGGTGCTTGAAGGCAGCTGGTGCGTGAAGGCAGCTGGTGCTTGAAGGCAGCTCGTGCATGAAGGCAGCTGGTGCGTGAAGGCAGCTGGCTGAGGCAGGCACCACACCTGCCGGGATAAGAACACCATGAGAAACAATCAGTGTAGGGACCAGCCAGCGGCCCAGCACCAACGGTGAGAAGTATTGACAACTCTCAACTGTAAGGAAGATGTGACCGTGATAACTATGTTTTGGGTCCCTGTGGTTACCACTCCCTGGCTGGCATAGTCTTGTGCACTCTCACTCCCTGGCTGGCATAGTCTTGTGCACTCTCACTCCCTGGCTGGCATAGTCTTGTGCACTCTCACTCCCTGGCTGGCATAGTCTTGTGCACTCTCACTCCCTGGTTGGCATAGTCTTGTGCACTCTCACTCCCTGGTTGGTATAGTCTTGTGCACTCTCACTCCCTGGTTGGTATAGTCTTGTGCACTCTCACTCCCTGGTTGGTATAGTCTTGTGCACTCTCACTCCCTGGCTGGCATAGTCTTGTGCACTCTCACTCTCTGGCTGGCATAGTCTTGTGCACTCTCACTCCCTGGCTGGCATAGTCTTGTGCACTCTCACTCCCTGGCTGGCATAGTCTTGTGCACTCTCACTCTCTGGCTGGCATAGTCTCGTGCACTCTCACTCTCTGGCTGGCATAGTCTTGTGCACTCTCACTCCCTGGCTGGCATAGTCTTGTGCACTCTCACTCCCTGGCTGGCATAGTCTTGTGCACTCTCACTCCCTGGCTGGTATAGTCTTGTGCACTCTCACTCCCTGGCTGGCATAGTCTTGTGCACTCTCACTCCCTGGCTGGCATAGTCTTGTGCACTCTCACTCCCTGGCTGGCATAGTCTTGTGCACTCTCACTCCCTGGCTGGCATAGTCTTGTGCACTCTCACTCTCTGGCTGGCATAGTCTCGTGCACTCTCACTCCCTGGTTGTGAGGTGACGGGGGAGGGTCTCCGCCCCCTGGAGATGCTGAGGGGGTCTCCGCCCCCTGGAGATGCTGAGGGCGAGGGGAGAGGTGATGCTGGGCTTGAGGGAGATCAGGGGTCATTGAATCAAAAATATGAATCAATCAGACCAGGATTGTTGTCATGTACGCATCTCCTTAAGGAACTTGACGTCTTAGTCTGTTTTATTAAACAGTTTACGGAGCTCCAGACTTCACTTCCCAAGGTTCTTATTGCTGTAGACGACCTCCTAGTGCTTCCCACCGCATAATATTTTCAAATTAATGTAAACAAAGCTGTCATGGTTGAGGAGAGATGTAATGACATCGCAAATGAACACGAGTTTTTGGTGAATGTTGAATGACTAAATGCCAGACAAGTGCACATTGAGATAGGATGAGGGGAGTAATGTGTGAGGGAGCGGCAGACGGGAGGAACAGGTGTCCGGGCCTCCTCATCCAGGTGTGATGGTAAACAAAGATTTACAAATATATATGATAGATGCATGAGGGAGAGGGCGGGGCTGAGTGTCAACACGCCGCTCTGGTCTCTTCTTATGTTCTGAAAAGATTAAAGGAGTGATAGTCACACGGCAGCTGGAGCGGGCACCAACTGCACCTCACGACGCTGGAAGATAGAAGAGTTAGGGGAGATATGATCATTACCTATAAAATTCTCAGGGGAATTGACAGGATAGATAAAGATAAGCTATTCAACACTGATGGTACGCGAACAAGGGGACACAGGTGGAAACTGAGTACCCAAATGAGCCACAGGGACGTTAGAAAGAAGTTTTTCAGTCTCAGAGTAGTTAATAGATGGAATGCATTAGGAAGTGATGTGGTGGAGGCTGACTCCATACACAGTTTCAAATGTGGATATGATAGAGCCCAATAGGCTCAGGAATCTGTACACCTGTTGATTGACAGTGGAGAGACGGGACCAAAGAGCCAGAGCTCAACCCCCACAACTAGGTGAGTACTGACCTGGTGCTGGAGGAGAGACTAGGTACATGTGGCCTTCTTGTACCCTGGACACACCCGCCACATGTGTCAGTCACGTGTGTGACGAGTTGGAATGAAATAAATAAACATGATTAGAACACCATCAGCTTACACAACCCGGCCTGTGTGGGCTCGGGGTCTTGAAGTGGCTAGAATGTTATTATGTGTTAATTGGCTGCTGAATGTGTTGTGTATTAATTCAACAGCCAATTAACACATAATTACATTGTACCCACTTCAAGACCCTGAACCAACATAGAAGCGAGAAGAGAAAATACGCAATGTAGCCATTGATTTGTGTTCTGAGTATCTAAAATTATCTTTACCCAGTTATTACCCCTTGGTTTGTGTTCTATCACTTCACCCAAAAACAAATATAAGCATGAAACGGAGTACATAAAATTTGTTTTTGAAAATGTGAGAAGTCTCTTACGAAAAGCTGCTAGGCATCAGACCGTACATAAAAATGTGAAAATGAACTTGGGAGAGTTAATTTTTCAATTACCTTCGACAGTGAAGAAAAACGTAAGAAATATGGAGAAGATTCGTTTTAGAATCGTTAATCTTACCCTTTCGGTCATATTCAACATCATATGTTTACAAGAATGACTGCTACCAAAATATACTAATTATAAATATATATATATATATATATATATATATATATATATATATATATATATATATATATATATATATATATATATATATATATATATATATATATATATATATATATATATGTCGTACCTAGTAGCCAGAACGCACTTCTCAGCCTACTATGCAAGGCCCAATTTGCCTAATAAGCCAAGTTTTCATGAATTAATGGTTTTTCGTCTACCTTACCTACCTAACCTAACCTAACCTAACCTAACCTAACGTTTTCGACTACCTAACCTAACCTAACCTAACGTTTTCGGCTACCTAACCTAACCTAACCTATAAAGATAGGTTAGGTTAGGTTAGGTAGGGTTGGTTAGGTTCGGTCATATATCTACGTTAATTTTAACTACAATAAAAAAAAATTGACCTCATACATAATGAAATGGGTAGCTTTATCATGTCATAAGAAAAAAATTAGAGAAAATATATTAATTCAGGAAAACTTGGCTTATTAGGCAAATCGGGCCTTGCATAGTAGGCTGAGAAGTGCGTTCTGGCTACTAGGTACGACATATATATATATAAAGGAGGTACCTTTAAGCAGGGGGAGGAGCTGGGTGGCGTTGACCTCCAGTGCCAGGTCCAGCGCTGTCTTGCCTGTATAACATTACCATTAGACACATGATGATACATGTACACGAATGTACACATGATACATGCACACGAATGTACACATGATACATGCACACGAATGTACACATGATACATGCACACGAACGAGGACAAAGAAAATCACACATTTTCTCAAATTAATATCTGCTGCCACTGTCTCTCCTAAACTAATTATGACAGGTAAAGACTAATTATGGCACGTAACGACTAATTATGACAGGTAAAGACTAATTATGACAGGTAAAGACTAATTATTACAGGTAAAGACTAATTATGAGGTGGTACCTGTGTAGTCAGTGATGGCAGCATCAGGGCACCGCTCCATCAGCTCCTGCATCATGGCTCTCTTCTGGGAGGTGAGTTTGGTGGCCAGCCTGGGCTTATGAGCCCCGGACCACCGCTCCTCGGCCTTCACCATCACACAGTAGTGTAGAGGCGTCCGTCCTGCGCCGGGGCACACGGCTCAGTACTCTCTCACAGCAATATATATATATATATACTGTCTCACCCCTTCTCATACACCGCTTCCTGTCTCACGTTCATACCCGTCTGAGGTTCTGTCTCAGAGTCTCAGATCTCTGTCTAGAATCAGAATCAAAACAGATAACCCGTCTGTCTGTGAGTCATACTGTCCATACATACCGTCCCAAGCTGGTGATAGGTCCGGGACGGATAGGAAAAATAGACCAATTTTCAAACTGTCCATTTTTTGTTTTGAGTGATTTTGTGGTAATATGTTGTAATTGTTTTGATTATACATATGATTTACAACCCGTTCTCGCATTTTCTTACAGTCAATATTGACTTATTAAATACGTGTTTAACATATTAAACATATTAAACATACTAGTTTACCTTGAAAAGCTTCATAGAAAACACCGACCTTACCTAACCTTCTTAGTATGTTAAGATAAGCATCTTATTGCTTCGTAATTACAATTATTACTTAACCTATACCTATAATAGGTTAAGTAATAATTGTAATTACGAAGTAATAAGATGCTTATCTTAACATACTAAGAGGGTTAGGTAAGGTCGGTGTTTTCTATGAAGCTTTTCAAGGTAAACTAGTATGTTTAGTATGTCACATATGCATGTATTTAATAAGTCAATATTGACTATACGAAAGTGCGAGAACGGGTTGCATTTACGACGGGTGTATTTTGTTATTGGAAAGGTAATATGCGTGCAGACCATCACAGCCGTGTTGATCACTATGTAGGTGTTGTGATGGTGGCCTAGGGTGGGGGGGTCCCAGGGGGGATGGGGGGTACAGTAACATGTGGAACAACCCACCAGGTGGTACAATACAGTGTGGAACAACCCACCAGGTGGTACAATACAGTGTGGAACAACCCACCAGGTGGTACAATACAGTGTGGAACAACCCACCAGGTGGTACAATACAGTGTGGAACAACCCACCAGGTGGTACAATACAGTGTGGAACAACCCACCAGGTGGTACAATACAGTGTGGAACAACCCACCAGGTGGTACAATACAGTGTGGAACAACCCACCAGGTGGTACAATACAGTGTGGAACAACCCACCAGGTGGTACAATACAGTGTGGAACAACCCACCAGGTGGTACAATACAGTGTGGAACAACCCACCAGGTGGTACAATACAGTGTGGAACAACCCACCAGGTGGTACAATACAGTGTGGAACAACCCACCAGGTGGTACAATACAGTGTGGAACAACCGACCAGGTGGTACAATACAGTGTGGAACAACCCACCAGGTGGTACAATACAGTGTGGAACAACCGACCAGGTGGTACAATACAGTGTGGAACAACCCACCAGGTGGTACAATACAGTGTGGAACAACCGACCAGGTGGTACAATACAGTGTGGAACAACCCACCAGGTGGTACAATACATGTGGAACAACCCACCAGGTGGTACAATACAGTGTGGAACAACCCACCAGGTGGTACAATACAGTGTGGAACAACCGACCAGGTGGTACAATACAGTGTGGAACAACCCACCAGGTGGTACAATACATGTGGAACAACCCACCAGGTGGTACAATACATGTGGAACAACCCACCAGGTGGTACAATACAGTGTGGAACAACCCACCAGGTGGTACAATACAGTGTGGAACAACCCACCAGGTGGTACAATACATGTGGAACAACCCACCAGGTGGTACAATACATGTGGAACAACCCACCAGGTGGTACAATACAGTGTGGAACAACCCACCAGGTGGTACAATACAGTGTGGAACAACCCACCAGGTGGTACAATACATGTGGAACAACCCACCAGGTGGTACAATACAGTGTGGAACAACCCACCAGGTGGTACAATACATGTGGAACAACCCACCAGGTGGTACAATACAGTGTGGTACAATAAACCATTTACGCTCACATCAGACAATTACTTCCTAAATCCTCGTCCTTCCTTATCTGTAACTGTCGATGGTTTCGTGAATCACCGTCCCAGCGGCCCGGTCCCTGACCAGGCCTCTGTAACCCCATAAGGTTTCAAAAGAGTCAAGTTTGGATCCAAGTCTGTTACTGTTTGTAATCCTTTGTAAAGATGATAAAAATATTCCTCCGCCAATTACGACTATAAAGCACTGGGAAGGGGTCAGGATAAGGATTTGGGATGGGACGGAGGAAAGGAATAGTGCCCAACCACTTGGACGGTCGGGGATTGAACGCCGACCTGCATGAAGTGAGACCGTCGCTCTACCGTGCAGACCAAGAGGTTGGGGTTGACTGGGAGACGTTAGCATGGGAGGAGGCAGGCTCTTCATTACCACAAGAACGAGGTAAAGAATTATCATATACACATTAAAATTTCACCTACATTTTAATATATTTCAAAATATTCTTTGTAAAGATTCTAAGTTTAAACTTCAAAATTGTTGTCATTAATATAATCATATTTGTCTTAATTTACCAGTATATACAAGTCAGTATACTCTAAAGCATATGGTATATACGGGTAAATTACGACAAATATGATTATATTATTGAAAACAATTGTGGAGTAAAGCTGAAGGTGAGAATGTTCCCTAGTTAACATGCCCAGGTGAGGCAGAGCTGTGCAGGGTGACGGGAGTGAGGTGGGGGGTTACCATAGGTGTCTTGCGCCTGCACGGAGGCGCCGTAGTCCAGCAGGTCCCTGACGATCTCCGGGTGACGGTAGTAGACAGCCTTGTGCAGCGCCGTGAACCCTGTCAAGGAGTGGACGGTCAAGCTGGGGTCACGCCCGTCTACCTGTCCCCCCACGCCCGTACACTCAGCCACCCGTACACTCAGCCACCCGTACACTCAGCTCCCCGTACACTCAGCCGCACGTACACTCAGCCACCCGTACACTCAGCTCCCCGTACACTCAGCCGCACGTACACTCAGCTGCCCGTACACTCAGCCTCCCGTACACTCAGCCACCCGTACACTCAGCCACCCGTACACTCAGCCACCCGTACACTCAGCCACCCGTACACTCAGCCACCCGTACACTCAGCCACCCGTACACTCAGCCACCCATACACTCAGCCACACGTACACTCAGCCACCCGTACACTCAGCCACACGTACACTCAGCCTCCCGTACACTCAGCCTCCCGTACACTCAGCCACCCGTACACTCAGCCACACGTACACTCAGCCACCCGTACACTCAGCCTCCCGTACACTCAGCCACCCGTACACTCAGCCTCCCGTACACTCAGCCTCCCGTACACTCAGCCTCCCGTACACTCAGCCTCCCGTACACTCAGCCACCCGTACACTCAGCCACACGTACACTCAGCCACACGTACACTCAGCCGCCCGTACACTCAGCCACCCGTACACTCAGCCACCCATGCTGCCTACACTAATCCCATGCTTCATGCTGCCTACACTACTCCCATGCTGACCACCTCTGGGGGTGTACAACACAGGTATACAACACAGGTGTACAACACAAGTGTACAACACAGGTGTACAACACAGGTGTACAACACAGGTGTACAACACAAGTGTACAACACAGGTTTCAGAAAAAGCGACACCATTTACTAACTCAATACAATAGGCAGATAATATTGCTGCTGATTTCCTACTAACAAATTAACTCAAAGTAAACGAGATAGCAGTGGAATTTTCCTCGGAAGAAAACGGGGATATTATTGCCATATGTCAATATTAAATTCACTAGCTAATAATATTGGGAATTCTTCTTAAAGTATCAGTCCTTGGACTGTAAACGTCAAATATATTTCCTTGAATGAACTTAATTATCAGAACTAAAATATATAAGATATGAGCTCTTGTTCCACGTTTTCTGAGAGGCAGAGGCCAGACTTTATTAAATTTAACGTAAACAAAGTCTTGCTGGAGCTCACGAAGCTCTACAGTTTTCCCTCTAGACGTTGTGTTCTGGGCTGTAAAGAGCTCTCATCATCAGCACATTCTTCGTCTGCAATACGGGAAGGGTTCGATACCCGATAACCCGTTAAATCTAGTCATTCCTGGCCAGTAATGTTAGATACATTACGGTATACCGGTTATAACGCGTGATGAAATAAATTACTATATGAGTTAATATAAATAAATTCTAAATAAATCAATAGATCCTACTAGTCAGTTTTTCCTCACATAATTGCCCATTGTCTGATGTTTTAAGATAAATTCCCAATATTATTAGCTGGTGAGTTTATTGGTGACATGGCAATGATATCCCCCGTTTTCTTCCGAGGAAAATTCCACTGCAATCTCGTTTTCTTTGAGTTAATTTGTTAGTTTATTTATTTATTTATTTATTTATTTATTTATTTATTTATTTATTTAAGCATATACAAGAATGTACATAAGGAATGAGGATACAAATATGGTAATTACAGTCTTGTAAAGCCACTAGCACGCGCAGCGTTTCGGGCAGAAAGTAGTAAGTCAGTAAGTCGGGACTTACTAGTAAGTAGTAAGTCATCAGCTGTATTATCTGCCTATTGTATTAAAAGGTAGTAAATGATGTCTTTTTTCGACAACAGGTGTACAACACAGGTATACAACACAGGTGTACAACACAGGTATACAACACAGGTGCTCAACACAGGTATACAACACAGGTGTACAAGACAGGTGTACTCACCGTCCTTCTCCACAATGTTGGGGTCAGCCCGCGCCTTCAGCAGCATCGCCACCACTGGCTGCCTCCCCCATGATGTCGCCCCGATCAGCGCTGTCACCCCTGACACATGGAGGTTACTGTTATTGGCACTCCCTGGCACTCCCCTGGCACTCTCAGTATTATTGGCACTCCCTGGCACTCTCAGTATTATTGGCACTCCCCTGGCACTCAGCATTATTGGCACTCCCAGCATTATTGGCACTCTCAGCATTATTGGCACTTTACACCTGATGGCACTGCCCGCCCAGCAGTAGAGTGACACCCAGGTGCCAGGTAACTGCTGGGAATCTCTCTAGTTGACTAAGGGGACCTCGGTAAGCCTAACAGGCTACCAGTTCTCCACAATGAGAAATCAAATGTTAACATGTTTGATTACATTCCCACATTACGCAGGACCCCTCAGTCTCTTGAACTGTTCAGTGTAAATACTTCATTAACAGCTATATGTGTCTCTAAGCCCTCCACTCCCACAGACAGAGCAGGCTTAGGGGTGCCTCTAAGCCCTCCACTCCCACACACAGAGCAGGCTTAGGGGTGCCTCTAAGCCCTCCACTCCCACACACAGAGCAGGCTTATTAGGGGTGCCTCTAAGCCCTCCAGTACCACCCACAGAGCAGGCTTAGGGGTGCCCCAAAGCCATCTACTGCCATCCACAGCACAAGTATGGGGGTGTACACACAGATGAAACAAACGCAGCTTTGCGAGGAAGAACAACACCCGGAGAAACCATTGTTACAGAGACCTCCATAAATGCTTCTCCAAGAGCAGCGTTATGTAAGTCTGTCATGAGAGCACCGTTCTCTGTGGTGTGTGGGCCCGAAGCCTCGGACCGGTAACTATAGTAAATGGAGACCGTCTACAAGCAGTTCCCTTAAGTTAGTGAACCACGAAGGTTTATATTTCTAATAAGAACTTTCTATTTACTTGATAAACATGCCTTGGTGCCAAGGGATGCCTCGTCTAGTGCTGGGGTGCGTTTCCTTGAAGTGAATGCAATAGAAGACTGGTCCAACGAAATTATATTATACTTGCTCTCCCTCTTCCTCCAGCTATTTTTACATTTATTTATTGTTTTAATATTTTTTATATATTCAAGAGTTCTTACATTCTCATAAAGCCACCAGCACACGTAGCGTTTCAGGCAGGTCTTTAATCCTAATGTTCCCTGGAATACGACCCGCCGAATTGTGTAGCAAGCAGGTACCCATTCACTGCTGGGTGAACAGAGGCTACAGTTAAGGATTGGCGCCCAGTCAATCCTCCCCGGCCAGGATACGAACCCGGGCCAAAGCACTCACGAAGCGCCGGGCGAGTGCTTTACCACGGCGCCATCTGCGGTATCTGCCGTATTTTGATAAGTATTTACGCAAAATCAGGCGTTCTGACTCCGGAAAGAAATTTAACTAAAATCAAACGCATGACTTCTCCCAGGGCACAAGTTTGACGCACGATAGGAACAAATCTTAGCAAATGTACAAGTATCATTTAAGAACATAAGAATGAAGGTAACTGCAGAAGGCCCATTGGCCCATACGACGCAGCTCCTATTTATATCCACCCAATCTCATTCATGTATATGTCTAACCTACGCTTGAAACAATCAAGGGATCCTACTGCAGGCGATGAGTCACAATAACGTGGCTGAAGTACGTTGACCAGACCACACACTAGAAGTTGAAGGGACGACGACGTTTCGGTCCGTCCTGGACCATTCTCAAGTCGATTGTGATTAGGATGATGATGAAGATTAAGATGATGAAGATTAAGCCACCCAAAAGGTGGCACGGGCATGAATAGCCCGTAAGTGGTGGCCCTTTTAAGCCATTACCAGTATCAAGAGCTGATACTGGAGATCTGTGGAGGTGCGACTGCACCCTGCATGACGGGAGATGTCTCCCTTGTGAATGTGTTAAGATGAAGATGAAGCCACCCAAAAGGTGGCACAGGCATGAATAGCTCGTAAGTGGTGGCCCTTTTGAGCCATCACCAGTATCAATAGATGATACTGGAGATCTGTGGAGGTGCGACTGCACCCTGCGTGACGGGAGATGTCTCCCGGACCAAATGGTGACCAGATGGTGGTGTGATTAGGAGGTAGGGACAGGCAATAAATAGGCCAGAGAGAGCTGAGGAGGAAAGTAAGGTGTAGGGGGATAGTAGTAATAATGAGAACTGCAGAAGGCTTATTGGCCCATACGAGGCAGCTCCTACTATAACCACCGAAGGAGATAGTAATAGGAAAAAGAAGAGGATAGCAAGGGAGCGTAGGAGAAGATCATGAACAGAAAAAGGGAGAAGAGAGAAAGAAAGGGAAAGAGAAAGAAATATAAATGGAAGGGGTAAGCTTATGTTAAGTCACGTTTGTTAGAAAGATTAGAACATTTGAATATATACTGTGAAAGGGAAGAGTCCACAGCAACAAAGCCAGGACATCAAAAGGGATCCTACTCTTATTATATTACGCGGTAACTGGTTCCACAAATCAACAACTCTTTTTACCGAACCAGTATTTACCCCAGGTCTTTCCTAAACCTAAACTTATCCAATTTATACCCACTGTTTCGAGTTCTGTCTTGTGTTGATACTTTTAATACATAAGAATAGTCCAGGAAGGCGTCCCAGCAGAGCCCAGACTTACCCCAGTAGGTCTGGAAGTCAATATTGGCGCCGGCGTTCAGCAGCGCTCTCACCATCTCCTCGTCTCCCGCCTTGGAGGCCAGGTACAGTGGTGTGTACACTGCTCACAGCACCACACCACCACCACAGCACCATCACAGCAGCACCACACCAGCACCACAGATACCAATGGTTGTTGAACCATCCGGGGGCACCAATGGTGGCAGGTCCAGGTCAACAGTGAAGTACGAGTAAGACACATTAGGACAGCTGGTGACAACAGTGACAGACAGACACTCACACCCACATACAATAACATTATTAATATATTGCTTTGAAAGTTGCTGCATTTTTATTATTTATTGCAAAAATACAAATTATTGTACGACTGAATTATTTAATTATTACTAATAAAACAAAGCAAAATCTACCAAAATAATTTCATTTTTTTAGCTATAGGAGTGTGAATAGTGCAGGGAACACCAGTGTGGTGCAGGGAACACCAGTGTGGTGCAGGGAACACCAGTGTGGTGCAGTGAACACCAGTGTGGTGCAGGGAACACCAGTCAGGTGCAGGGAACAACAAGGAGGTACTCACAGGTGTTAGGCTTGGCCACATTAGGGTTGGCGCGACGCTCAAGCAACATCTTCACTACAGCCGTGAACCCGTTCCACGCCCCTATCAGCACGGGCGTCAGGCCTGCACCATGGTAGGGCACCATACATCACCACCATGGTCAGACAACGCCATACATCACCACCATGGTCAGACAACGCCATACATCACCACCATGGTCAGACAACGCCATACATCACCACCATGGTCAGACAACGCCATACATCACCACCATGGTCAGACAACGCCATACATCACCACCATGGTCAGACAACGCCATACATCACCACCATGGCCAGACAACGCCATACATCACCACCATGGTCAGACAACGCCATACATCACCACCATGGTCAGACAACGCCATACATCACCACCATGGTCAGACAACGCCATACATCACCACCATGGTATGTCACCATACATCACCACCATGGTATGTCACCATACAACACCACAATACTCAGACAACACCATACATCACCACAATATTATGACAGCACCATACTAAGCCAGTAACACAGTACTAAAACAGTACTTCAACACTCAATACAATGAGATCCAATTTAAGCGTCAATCAACAAGACAAAATACATCAAGACGACAAATTTACAATATTGTACAACACCAACTATTTTCATCATAAACCTGACCGTATAATTTTGTATTCATAAATTTTTTTTTAATATTATCATTATCATAGTTTTATTAGATAAATTATGTACAATTAATATTTACCCTGAACATGGAACACTACTAATCATACCAGCATGATGTCAATCATACCAGCATGCTGTCAACTATATCAGTATGCTGACAATCATACCAGTGTGCACTCAATCATACTAGTATGCTGTCAACCATACCAGTATGCTGTCAATCATACCAGTGTGCACTCAATCATACCAGCATGCTGTCAATCATATCAGTGTGCACTCAATCATAACAGCATGCTGTCAACCAAACCAGCATGCTGTCAACCATATCAGTATGCTGTCAACCATCCCAGTATGCACTCAATCATTCCAGTATGCTGTCAACCATCCTAGTATGCACTCAATCATTCCAGTATGCTGTCCCCCATACCAGTATGCTGTCAACCATCCCAGCATGCCCTCAATCATAACAGTATTCTGTCAACCATACTAATACTCACAACAGCACACTAGTACTCACAGGAGCACGCTAGTACTCACAGGAGCACGCTAGTACTCACAGGAGCACGCTAGTACTCACAGGAGCACGCTAGTACTCACAGGAGCACGCTAGTACTTACAACAGCACACTAGTACTCACAACAGCACACTAGTACTCACAACAGCACACTAGTACTCACAGGAGCACGCTAGTACTCACAACAGCACACTAGTACTCACAGGAGCACGCTAGTACTCACAACAGCACACTAGTACTCACAGGAGCACGCTAGTACTCACAACAGCACACTAGTACTCACAACAGCACACTAGTACTCACAACAGCACACTAGTACTCACAGGAGCACGCTAGTACTTACAACAGCACACTAGTACTCACAGGAGCACGCTAATACTCACAACAGCACACTAGTACTCACAGGAGCACACTAGTACTCACAACAGCACACTAGTACTCACAGGAGCACGCTAGTACTCACAACAGCACGCTAGTACTCACAGGAGCACGCTAGTACTCACAACAGCACACTAGTACTCACAGGAGCAGACTAGTACCCACAACAGCACACTAGTACTCACTGGAGCACGCTAGTACTCACAACAGCACACTAGTACTCACAGGAGCACACTAGTACTCACAAAAGCACACTAGTACTCACAACAGCACATTAGTACTCACAGGAGTACAATAGTACTCACAGGAGCACACTAGAACTCACAGGAGCACACTAGTACTCACAGGTACTCACAGATACTCACAGGTACTCACAGATACTCACAGGTACTCACAGGTACTCACAGATACTCACAGGTACTCGCAGGTACTCACAGATATTCACAAATAATCACAGGTACTCACAGAAACTCACAGATACACACAGGTACTCACAGATACTCACAGGTACTCACTGGTACTCGCAGGTATTCACAGATACTCACAGATACTCACAGGTACTCACAGGTATTCACAGATACACACAGGTACTCACAGATACTCACAGATACTCACAAGTACTCACAGATACTCACAGGTACTCAGAAGTACTCACAGATACTCACAGGTACTCACAGATACTCACAGGTACTCACAGATACTCACAGGTACTCACAGATACTCACAGATACTCACAGATACTCACAGGTACTCACAGATACTCACAGGTACTCACAGGTACTCACAGGTACTCACAGATACTCACGGGTACTCACAGATACTCACAGGTACTCACAGATACTCACAGGTACTCACAGATACTCACAGGTACTCACAGATACTCACAGGTACTCACAGATACTCACAGGTACTCACAGGTACTCACAGGTACTCACAGATACTCACAGGTACTCACAGGTACTCACAGATACTCACAAATATTCACAGTTACTCACAGATACTCACAGGTACTCACAGATACTCACAGATACTCACAGATACTCACAAATACTCACAGGTACTCACAGGTACTCACAGGTACTCACAGATACTCACAGATACTCACAGGTACTCACAGATACTCACAGGTACTCACAGGTACTCACAGATACTCACAGGTACTCACAGATACTCATAGGTACTCACAGGTACTCACAGATACTCACAGATACTCACAAATACTCACAGGTACGCACAGATACTCACAGATACTCACAGATACTCACAGGTACTCACAGATACTCACAGGTACTCACAGATACTCACAGGTACTCACATATACTCACAGATACTCACAGATACTCACAGGTACTCACAGATACTCACAGATACTCACAGGTACTCACAGGTACTCACAGATGCTCATAGATACTCACAGAAACTCACAGATACACACAGGTACTCACAGATACTCACAGGTACTCACTGGTACTCGCAGGTATTCACAGATACTCACAGATACTCACAGGTACTCACAGGTATTCACAGATACACACAGGTACTCACAGATACTCACAGATACTCACAAGTACTCACAGATACTCACAGGTACTCAGAAGTACTCACAGATACTCACAGGTACTCACAGATACTCACAGGTACTCACAGATACTCACAGGTACTCACAGATACTCACAGGTACTCACAGATACTCACAGATACTCACAGGTACTCACAGATACTCACAGGTACTCACAGGTACTCACAGGTACTCACAGATACTCACGGGTACTCACAGATACTCACAGGTACTCACAGATACTCACAGGTACTCACAGATACTCACAGGTACTCACAGATACTCACAGGTACTCACAGATACTCACAGGTACTCACAGGTACTCACAGGTACTCACAGATACTCACAGGTACTCACAGGTACTCACAGATACTCACAAATATTCACAGTTACTCACAGATACTCACAGGTACTCACAGATACTCACAGATACTCACAGATACTCACAAATACTCACAGGTACTCACAGGTACTCACAGGTACTCACAGATACTCACAGATACTCACAGGTACTCACAGATACTCACAGGTACTCACAGGTACTCACAGATACTCACAGGTACTCACAGATACTCATAGGTACTCACAGATACTCACAGATACTCACAAATACTCACAGGTACGCACAGATACTCACAGATACTCACAGATACTCACAGATACTCACAGGTACTCACAGATACTCACAGGTACTCACATATACTCACAGATACTCACAGATACTCACAGGTACTCACAGATACTCACAGATACTCACAGGTACTCACAGGTACTCACAGATGCTCATAGATACTCACAGGTACTCACAGATACTCACAGGTACTCACAGGTACTCACAGATACTCACAGGTACTCACAGATACTCACAGGTACTCACAGGTACGCACAGATACTCACAGATACTCACAGGTACTCACAGGTATTCACAGATACTCACAGGTACTCACAGATACTCACAGGTACTCACATGTACTCACAGATACTCACAGATACTCACAGGTACTCACAGATACTCACAGATACTCACAGGTACTCACAGGTACTCACAGGTACTCACAGATACTCACAGGTACTCACAGGTACTTACAGGTACTCACAGATACTCACAGGTACTCACAGATACTCACAGGTACTCACAGGTACTCACAGGTACTCACAGATACTCACAGGTACTCACAGGTACTCACCGGCGTTGGTCATCACGTCAGGGTTGGCCCCAAGACTCAGCACATTCTGAAGGGACTCAGTGGCGCCATTCTCCGCCAGCAGGTAGACCACTGTGTACTCTGTGGAGACACCATACTTAGTACCCTCAGCTGTGACACCATACTTAGCTCCCTCAGCTGTGACACCATACTTAGCTCCCTCAGCTGTGACACCATACTTAGCACCCTCAGCTGTGACACCATACTTAGCTCCCTCAGCTGTGACACCATACTTAGCTCCCTCAGCTGTGACACCATACTTAGCACCCTCAGCTGTGACACCATACTTAGCACCCTCAGCCGTCACACCATACTTAGCTCCCTCAGCCGTCACACCATACTTAGCACCCTCAGCTGTGACACCATACTTAGCACCCTCAGCCGTCACACCATACTTAGCTCCCTCAGCCGTCACACCATACTTAGCACCCTCAGCTGTGACACCATACTTAGCACCCTCAGCCGTCACACCATACTTAGCACCCTCAGCCGTCACACCATACTTAGCACCCTCAGCTGTGACACCATACTTAGCACCCTCAGCCGTCACACCATACTTAGCTCCCTCAGCCGTCACACCATACTTAGCACCCTCAGCTGTGACACCATACTTAGCACCCTCAGCCGTCACACCATACTTAGCACCCTCAGCCGTCACACCATACTTAGCACCCTCAGCTGTGACACCATACTTAGCACCCTCAGCCGTCACACCATACTTAGCTCCCTCAGCCGTCACACCATACTTAGCACCCTCAGCTGTGACACCATACTTAGCACCCTCAGCTGTGACACCATACTTAGCACCCTCAGCCATCACACCATACTTAGCACCCTCAGCTGTGACACCATACTTAGCACCCTCAGCCGTCACACCATACTTAGCACCCTCAGCTGTGACACCATACTTAGCACCCTCAGCCATCACACCATACTTAGCACCCTCAGCTGTGACACCATACTTAGCTAATAAAAGTTACTACTAATATGTCTATTTTCCTTAACAAAACTTCTATGAACATATTAAGTCTTAAATAAACTTCAATGATTATATGAACTCTAAAATATTTTCATAAAACTGAACTGTGAAAAAAAACATTAATTTCCCCCATAAGAAACCTTTAAGTCCGAATGAGTCATTTTTGCCTCGAATTTTTCTGGAAACCCTGACAGCAAATGAGTCTTTTTTCCAAAAAAAAAAAGACTCACGCTGTCATCCCTACTACTGTAGAGGTGTGGCCCGTGAGCTGTCATCCTTACTACTGTAGAGGTGTGGCCCGTGAGCTGTCATCCTTACTACTGTAGAGGTGTGGCCCGTGAGCTGTCATCCTTACTACTGTAGAGGTGTGGCTCGTGAGCTGTCATCCCTACCACTGTAGAGGTGTGGCCCGTGAGCTGTCATCCTTACTACTGTAGAGGTGTGGCTCGTGAGCTGTCATCCTTACTACTGTAGAGGTGTGGCCCGTGAGCTGTCATCCCTACCACTGTAGAGGTGTGGCCCGTGAGCTGTCATCCTTACTACTGTAGAGGTGTGGCCCGTGAGCTGTCATCCCTACTACTGTAGAGGTGTGGCCAGTGAGCTGTCAACCCTACTACTGTAGAGGTGTGGCCAGTGAGGCTACACCTACACCTTTGCTACACCTTTAAGGTGTAGCAAAGGCAGGAGTGTAGAGGCAGGGGTGTAGAGGCAGGGGTGTAGAGGCAGGGGTGTAGAGGCAGGGGTGTAGAGGCAGGGGTGTAGAGGCAGGGGTGTAGAGGCAGGGGTGTAGAGGCAGGGGTGTAGAGGTGGTGCAAGAGAGCAGACGTACTGGAGGTGCTGGTGTGGTTGACGCTGGCCCCGGCGGCCACCAGGGCGTCCACCACCTGGGTGTGGTTGTGCTCCGCCGCCAGCATCAGGGAGGTGAACCCACGCCTCCAACCTGTCCACGGAGAGGCAGTGGTTGAGTGACCAAAGGAGACACAGTGGCTGAGTGACCAAAGGAGACACAGTGGCTGAGTGACCAAAGGAGACACAGTGGCTGAGTGACCAAAGGAGACACAGTGGCTGAGTGACCAAAGGAGACACAGTGGCTGAGTGACCAAAGGGGACACAGTGGGTGAGTGACCAAAGGAGACACAGTGGGTGAGTGTCTGTGGTCACTCAGCCAGAGTCTTGCACAGTTTCATCAGCTGGGTCGCAATGCGGAACTATAATAATACAAGTGAAATACTCCTCACAAGTAATGTTGAAAACCAGTATTGCAAGAGTTGCAAACCTCACGGTGAGGGTTAAGGGAACTCTTCACTACTTATAACACAGTAAGTTACTCCCTAAATAACCATACTTACAGCACTAGCACTTAATATCTGCCTTAATTAATTAATTAATTAACTTAATACACTCACTTAACTAAATTTATTTAACTCTGAAGATTGTGAGAAAGTTAGTGTTTTCATACACGCTAAGAGCTGGGATATGAGGACATACTAAGAGCTGGGATATGTGGACATACTAAGAGCTGGGACATGAGGACACACTAAGAGCTGGGATAATAGAACACACTAAGAGCTGGGATATGCAGCAACAAGACAACACCACAAGGGGAAGCAGCAAGAAGTACCGTTGTTCTCGGTGTAGGCGAGGACGTAGGACCTGTCCGGAGACTCGAGCAGCTCCTCCACCTTGTGCAGGTCTCCGTGTTCAGCCGCAGACAGCAGAGACATCCCTAGAAGGAAACCTCTCATTATATTCCTCTCTCTGCTTCATCATCTGCAGAGACTGACGCATCTAAAGATACGAGAGTATTCACACACACACCGACGATCGTAGGAGCCTTCGTATAAGTCAGGCTGTGTTCACTCGGACGCTGACACCAGTATTCAACATCCAGATGAATTCGGCTTCGAGTATACAACTGTTTGATGGTCTTCCATTGAACCAGAGGGAAGATGTAAGACCTGGCGGACAGCTAGACATCGAAGTAAACAATACTTACCCTTCGCCGCTCAATACGATTAAGGGGGTTAGGTGAATCATAGAGTGAGGTGGACCCACACTTATATGTGTCCAGATTCGTTCTGAGTAGCTAAATCTAAAACAAAAACACACCTTGAAAGTTGAGTATAGCTGTGTCAGGTCAGCAGTGTACTCGAGAAGGTGTCACATTGCTGACTGTTACGAACCCGGATCCAGCGTCCGAGCACGGAGCAGTGACGACCGCGCCATCTGTGGGTCAGCTCCCGAAACCCCCTCCAAACGGACGACGACACCTGGTGAGGGCGACGTGTACTGGCTACGAGGGCCAGTTGCCAGTCCTGTTCAGCGCTCAACACAGCCGCTGCTGACCTCTGGTGAGGTGGTGCTCAGACACCAGCGCCATCTATGGAGTGGATAGGTGGGCGTTTGTGTCTGAGCCTGTAAGTGAGGTGCCTTAGTGTGTCCCAGTTATTGATGACGTGTCTGCTTACAGAGTCGACCTGGGACTGCTGTGATGAAAGTTGAGTCAGTCTACCCAAGGCAGCCGTCTCCATACCTTGTGCTTTGCTGCAGCAGTTGTGAAGTCGTCCCCCGGAAGAACACTGTGGTGTTACCCTGCCAGTGGAGTGGCAGTAGAAGGATTACCCGGGACCGACGGCTGGAGACGATTATCCACTGGGGTATTGAGGACAGGAGAGTGATTGGTGGTATCACACGAGGCTCCTGTCTAGGGCGTTACCCTAATATCGCCCGTGGAGTGGCCTGACCAGCCTTGCTGATCCGGAACCTGCCAGTAGACCTGCTGGACGTGTGGTTGACGGCCTCCACGGCGGTGCCCCAGTGGACCTGTGTTTTGGCTGACCTGTGGCCAGGGTAGGCTCAACTTCTCAGAAGAATTCGTCAAGGGACCACGAAAGCACCGAGGACTCAGCACCGAGAGCTTTGCACCAGAGTCTTCAGCAGAAGACAACGATTGTGAATAATCCCCCTGTATAGTGTTTATACCCCTCCCCCTGTGCACTCTTTTATATATTATTTATATGGTGATGGTAAATTATAATCATAAGTTCTTAACTTTCTTTCCCTTCCCCCTTTAAGTTTCTTGCGTCACGGATCTCATCCCTTGAAAGCCACTACTGGCTTGGGGTCGGATACAACTTCCTCTAACAACATCAGAGTAAGAACCCCGTTGCGTCCCGAGAGGGCCGTAACACTGACCAAATGTTAAACAATAACAATATAAAGATTAAGTGATACACAATGTTGATGTGTTTAATGACATGTGTATGCATACATATTATATATATATATATATATATATATATATATATATATATATATATATATATATATATATATATATATATATATATATATATATATATATATATATATATATATATATATATATATGCATAAATGAAGACATATATTAACGAAAATTTCAAGCGCTTTGGCATTTGGGAAAAAATCACTTGGGTTTGGGATTCTAGAGGTCCTTCACCTGAGAAGATTAACACAAGCAGACGAGGAGTCACAATAACATGGCTGAAGAACTGATAACCAAACCACACGTCAGAAAATGGGACAAAACGACGACGTTTCGGTCCGTCTTGGACCGTTCTCAAGTCGTGTGAGAGAAGAGAGGAAGGCATCGGGTAATACATGGTTCAGGTTGGACCGAAACGTCGTCGTTTTGTCCATCTTGTGACGTGTGGGTTGGTCATCAAGTCTTCATCTTGGTCATCAATATAATAGCGAATAATGGAGGTGGCATGACTGATTGTGGATGAGGCAGTGCATCCACCCCCGGCACGGATGGCGGATTGACTAGTCACTGGTCAGTGCATGATTCTGGTGAGGTGAGGTAACTGTGAGTGAGGTGAGGTAACTATGAGTGAGGTGAGGTAACTGTGAGTGAGGTGAGGTAACTGTGAGTGAGGTGAGGTAACTGTGAGTGAGGTGAGGTAACTATGAGTGAGGTGAGGTAACTGTGAGTGAGGTGAGGTAACTATGAGAGTTGTGGCTGAGAAAGTGTTAGTGAGAGACCAAGAGAGCTGGGGGCAGATTCACGAAAACACTTACGTAAATACTTACGAACGTGTACACCTTTCCTCAATCTTTGACGACTTTGGTTACAGTTTATAAGCATGAAAACTTGCCAATCAACTGTTGTTATTGTTATAAACAGCCTCCTGGTGCTTCGGAGCTCATTAACTGTTTAATAATTGTAAACAATGCCGCCAAACTTTGAGAAAAGATGTACAGGATCGTAAGTGGAGCGGCTGGACACGTACCATTACAGATGTTCCTCTTCCTGGGTGGGAGGCTGTTGGGCTTGAAGCAGTCATCTTGGGTCTTGTTGGCCGCTGCCACCACCACCACCATCATCACCATCACCAGCCCGCTGCTGCTCCCACGCATCATACTGAATCTATAAAATGTATTTTGTATCAAAGAACTGAATTCTCTGTTTCACGATCTATTGTAGAATATAATACCACAGTTAAGGCAGAATTAATATAGAAGTAAACTTGAATTATTAAATCAGTTTATGTACCGACGTGAGGCCGAGTACCCAGAGCTACGAGAACCTTCTGATGCTCCTCTGTGGCTCGACAATGACTTAATATCCATCTGGCTGAGGGTAATTAGTGTGAATTAAACAGTATCATTAGTGTGTGTACGTCTTGCCTTAATAACTATATCAACTGATAATAAATCAACACTTAAGAGAGTATTTGGGTTAGTTAAATACATAAGTTCTTGAAGGGCGAAGAGTTGCACTGTCAGGAAAGTTATATTATTACACAACAGGCCCCGTAGGTGGGGCATGGTGCCCTTCACCTCTCTACCGTAGTTACGGGTAGATAGGCTCTCACACACACACACACACACACACACACACACACACACACACACACACACACACACACTCTCTCACACACACACACGAGGGGACAGCACGCTGGACTCGTGATCCTGTCGTCCCGGATTCGATCTCGGGCGCCTGCGAGAACATATGGGCAGAGTTTCTTTCACCCTATGCCCCTGTTGCCTAGCAGTAAATAGGTACTTGGGAGTTAGTCAGCTGTCACGGGCGGCTTCCTGGGTGTGTGTGTGTGTGTGTGTGTGTGTGTGGTGTGGAAAAGAAAAAAAGAAAAGAAAAAATAAATAGTAGTAGCTAGTAACAGTTGATTGATAGTTGAGAGGCGGGCCGAAAGAGCAGAGCTCAACCCCCGTAAGAACAACTAGGTGAAAATACACACACACACACACGTACACACATAAACACAAACGCACACACATACACACAAACGCACACACATACACACAAACAAAGTATCATACTAAACGCTGCGGTGATAGATAGATACTAAAAGAAGCAGCGCAGGCCCTCAGCGTGCCTCTGGCAATGATCTTTAATGAGTCACTTATGTCAGGAGAATTGCCCAGTTGCTGGAAGAAGGCAAATGTCGTGCCGATCTTCAAGAAAGGTGATAGGGAGGAGGCACTTAACTATAGACCTGTATCACTGACAAGCATCCCCTGTAAAATACTGGAAAGAATAATTAGGCTACGACTGGTTGCACACCTAGAGAACATTAGGTTTGTGAACAAACATCAACATGGGTTCTGGACAGGGAAATCGTGCCTAACAAACCTTTTAGAATTCTATGATAAAATAACGAGGATAAGACAGGACAGAGATGGTTGGGCAGACTGCATATTGCTGGACTGCCAAAAAGCCTTTGATACAGTACCGCACATGAGACTGCTGTTCAAACCCGAGAGGCAGGTGGGGGGAAAGGTCCTAGCATGGATAAGGAACTACCTAACAGGAAGGAGCCAAAGAGTTACGGTAAGGGGCGAGAAGTCGGACTGGCGAACAGTAACAAGTGGAGTACCACAAGGATTGGTGCTGGGACCAATTCTATTTCTTGTATATGTTAACGACATGTTTACAGGAGTAGAGTCCTTCATGTCGATGTTTGCGGATGACGCAAAGTTGATGAGAAGAGTTGTGACAGAGGAGGACTGCAGGATCCTCCAAGAGGACCTGAACAGGTTGCAGAGATGGTCAGAGAAATGGCTACTGGAGTTCAATACGAGCAAATGTAAAGTTATGGAAATGGGACTAGGTGATAGGAGACTAAAGGGACAGTACACAATGAAGGGGAACTGCCTACCTGTGACAACGCGAGAAAGAGACCTGGGGGTGGACGTAATACCTAATCTATCTCCTGAGGCACATATAAATAGGATAACGACAGCAGCGTACTCTACACTGGCGAAAGTTAGAACGTCATTCAGAAACCTAAGTAAGGAGGCATTTATGGTGCTTTACACTGCCTACGTGAGGCCAGTCTTAGAGTATGCCGCCTCATCATGGAGTCCCCATCTGAAGAAGCATATAAGGAAACTGGAAAACGTTCAGAGGTTTGCAACGAGACTCGACCCAAAGTTACGAGGGATGGGGTATGAGGAGCGCCTGAGGGAACTGTGCCTTACAACACTAGAAAAAAAAGGGAGAGGGGGGACATGATAGTAACGTATAAAATACTCAGGGGGATTGACAGAGTGGACAGAGACGAAATGTTCACACGGAATAGTAACAGAACGAGGGGACATGGGTGAAAGCTGGAAACTCAGATGAGTCACAGAGATGTTAGGAAGTTTTCTTTTAGCGTGAGAGTAGTGGGGAAATGGAATGCACTTCAGGAACAGGTTGTGGAAGCAAATACTATTCATAATTTTAAAATTAGGTATGATAGGGAAATGGGACTGGAGTCATTGCTGTAAACAACCGATGCTCGAAAGGCGGGATCCAAGAGTCAATGCTCGATCCTATAGACACAAATAGGTGAGTACACACACACGTACACACACGCAAGCACAAATAGGTGAGGTGAGTACACACACACCTACACACACGCACACACACGCACACACCCCGGCACCACGCTAGCAAGCACAGCCACAATAAAGAGCTTGTCCCGCCCTGGAGTAGGTGAGGTTAAAGCACATAATCCCGACCCACCACCTCTGACAAAGAGTATATTAAGTATGCCAACCGTGACATACCATGACATACTCGCGTCACTTCCTGAGCGTAAGTGCTTGTCAGCTTGGTATAACCCTATACCAGCCACGATCCCTTTCCGGATGGGAGATATGTTGACACGTATATATATACTACATATCACGTCACAGGGAAGAATATGGCCTTGAAAATACTTCCCCCCAAACAAATCTTGGTTGAGATGTACCCAACATTGCGAGCCTATAACCCTATGGATATATTTTCTGGCGGGAATGCACTTTTTGTGATCTTTTTTTAGCGGTAAATATCCTGCAGTGTTTGACTTGCAAGGATATAAATCAGGAACTGTTATTACTGGTGGTCCAATATGGAATGCTCCCTAGGATAATATTATCCTAGCAGCTCCTGCTGCCGCGCATGTTCCCTCAGTAATATTGGACACCATAAATAAACTCCCCATTACTCTTACTGACTAGGATAATTTCCTTGGAACGATTGCTGACCGCGATAATCTCCTTTGGCACAATTACTGACCACGATAATCTCCCTTGGAACAATTACTGACCGCGATAATCTCCCTTGGAACAATTACTGACCGCGATAATCTCCCTTGGAACAATTACTGACCGCGATAATCTCCCTTGGAACAATTACTGACCGCGATAATCTCCCTTGGAACAATTACTGACCGCGATAATCTTCCTTGGAACAATAACAAATGTCATGTTAGGGTCTTTAAGATTTCCATTACTATTATTATTCATGTTTCCCAAGTCGTTCCATATTGGAACAAAATGGCGGCTCTGCAAATCTTCTAGTGACTCGATGGTGATATCTAAGATATCCGCGATGGTCACACGAATATCTTAGCCAATCAGGAACGAGTGGTCATGTTACCGATTCTTATTGGCTATGATAGCAGCAGTATTTTGAGTGAACCAATGGCAGGCTGGGAGGCGCAGCTATGACGGAGCCAGGCCCGGCTCAGTAAACAAAAAGGTCGCCCTAGCAGCTGGAGGTCTGGAGAGTAGGTAAAGCTGGGTGCTGGGATACGTCATCCCAGTGTGTCATGGTCGGTGAATACGCTGCTTATATTTAGAGAAGGTGCAGCTGAGTCCTACAGGTATACTGACACTATTGCTGTAGGACTCACCTGCTCTCATTATAGGAATTTTCTAGCATAAATGATAGACGGAGAGGTGAAGACATGTCATGAGGCTTAGAGTTGTCTGGAAGCGAAGGGAGCAAGAGTCTTCCAGCAGCTGTGTGGAACACTGGTGGCTCCGGATATAAGGGCTCCTGGCGTGAAGGGAACAAGGCTCCCAGCAGCTGTGTGGAACACTGGTGGCTCCGGATATAAGGGCTCCTGGCGTGAAGGGAACAAGTCTTCCAGCAGCTGTTGTCGGAAAATCCGACACCATTTAATAATCATACAGATAATTGCTGTTGTATAAGCAAGTTACCCATAGAAAACGTAACTTGTAGTGGAATTACCGTCTATAGAAAACGGGATATCATCACCACATACTATTATAATTCACCAGCTATTCTGCTGGGAATTGTTCTTAAATACATTAGTCTTTGGACTTTACCATCATAAAAACATCTTATATAAATTAACTTAATTATCAATATTAAAGTAGAGTAAATGTGACCCTTCTATCACTTTCTGAAATCTGGACAAAGTAGGCCAGGCGTCTGTGGGGAAGGAGGGCAGCTATTGTTTATACGAGACCAGAGGCTCACACGGGAGCAAATTCGGCTCCTGTTAATTTTACTTGGACGTAGTGTTATGGAACCCAAAGGTGTACCATTGTCAACACGCTGTCTACAAATACAAGTTAAGTGTCTATCCGAAACCCGTTTATCATTCATTTATGGCCATTAATGTCAGGATATAGGGTTAGCCGGTTAGAACGCGAAATCGCCTCATACTAAAGGTAATTAAGCCAGGTCTTTAATGTTCCATGTACTGTATAGTGTTTTCTCTGATATAGCTTGTCATATATAGGATTCTGGCTTCACAGCTAGCGCACTTTTGACAGGTCAAGACGAGGATGCAAGATTTGTGCACCAGTTACTGGGTGATATGGAAGCTACCTCAAAGAGGATAATTTGGTGTCTACACCCTAGTTATACCTGGTGGACTAACCTGCTGTACTATAAGATAAGGAACCTCTTTAATGTATGTAGCTATTACTGTAATTTGATTGGCTGCATATGTGTAATATAAACCCCCCCTAATGTGTAGAGGATCGATTTGTGAGATTATGAGATTATTGCAGAAATACAGTCCACTTATCATTATACAAATTGCTATCGAAGTATATAAATTAACGTAAATATAAATTCACATAAATTAAATAAATATAAATCTCACAGGTCGGTTC